ACCGCCTGCGCCCTGTCCCTTGCCCCCTTTCCCCTGGGCCACCACCAAAGGCCACCTTCACCTTTTGCTTTTCTACCCAGGTGGCGAGAACGTGAAAGCCATAAACCAGCAGACGGGAGCCTTCGTGGAGATCTCCCGGCAGCTGCCACCCAACGGGGACCCCAACTTCAAGTTGTTTATCATCCGGGGTTCGCCCCAGCAGATCGACCATGCCAAGCAGCTTATCGAGGAGAAGATCGAGGTGGGCTGGGGAGGGCTCTGGGGGCTTGGGCTCACAGCCGGGATCCCAGCCCACTCACCTTGGCCGCTCTCCTTCCCTCCAGGGTCCTCTCTGCCCAGTTGGACCAGGCCCAGGGGGCCCAGGCCCTGCTGGCCCAATGGGGCCCTTCAACCCTGGCCCCTTCAACCAGGGGCCACCCGGGGCTCCCCCGCAGTGAGTATCCCTCTCTGCCTCCTGGGCTTTAGGGTTGAGGGGTCACTGAGCTGGCAAGAAGTGCCACCTCTCCCTAGAGGTGCAAGCGGGGGGGCCTCGTCCAGTCTGTTTTTGTGGACACTGTCAGCAGGCTCTCTCCTGTCAACTGGTAAAGCACATGCCCCTTTCAGCATCCCTTCTCGTACCTGGACGTTTGAGGGCTTGTTTTGTGTGCTCGAGCTGACACTACACATCCTTCATGTTGCTTCTCATCTAGGCCTTTCCCTGGTGCCTTGTTGAGCCTGGTGGTCTGGGTCTGTGGCCCCTCCCCACTCAAAAACATGCCTGCCCCAGGTGGATGGGCTTCGGCCCCCTGGCACTGCTGCTCACACATCCCTTCTTCTCTCCTGCAGTGCCGGGGGGCCCCCTCCTCACCAGTATCCACCCCAGGGCTGGGGCAATACTTACCCCCAGTGGCAACCGCCTGCTCCTCATGACCCAAGTAAGTGATGGGCCACCTGGGAAGGGTGGGACCTGCTCTGTGCCCGAGTCTAACCTGGCATATCCCTTCTGCAGGCAAAGCAGCTGCAGCGGCCGCGGACCCCAATGCCGCGTGGGCCGCCTACTATTCACACTACTACCAGCAGCCCCCAGGCCCCGTCCCTGGCCCTGCACCGGCCCCCGCGGCCCCACCCGCTCAGGGTGAGCCCCCTCAGCCCCCACCCACCGGCCAGTCGGACTACACTAAGGCCTGGGAAGAGTATTACAAAAAGATCGGTGAGTCTGCAGGGCGGCGGGGGGCTCCAGCTCTGCCAGGGTAGTGGATTCTGACCTGTCTCGTTGTCCCCACAGGCCAGCAGCCCCAACAGCCCGGAGCACCCCCGCAGCAGGACTACACGAAGGCCTGGGAGGAGTACTACAAGAAGCAGGGTGAGTGGCCGCTCTGTGGGGACAGAGGTGGGGACAGCCCTCACCTACAGCCTCTCACCTGGCTCTGCCCACCCACAGCGCAAGTGGCCACCGGAGGGGGTCCAGGAGCTCCCCCAGGCTCCCAGCCAGACTACAGTGCCGCCTGGGCGGAATATTACAGACAGCAGGCCGCTTACTACGGACAGACCCCAGGTCCTGGCGGCCCCCAGCCACCACCCACACAGCAGGGACAGCAGCAGGCAAGTGGGAATTGCCACCCTCCTCCTCCTCCTTTCTCCTTCCAACCCCCGGCCACCGTCCATCCTGCCTTAGTGGGTAGCGCCGGAAACCCCTTCCCCTGCGGGGTGTGCCCTTGATGCCTGCTGCGGGGGCCGTGTGGCCGGAGGTCTCCGGGAGTCCCCACGCACCGCCAGGGAAGCGTTCGCTGGGTCCAGAGGTTAAACGAAGAGGCCTCCCTGCGCCGGCTGCTTGTTCCTGTGTGCCGCTGTCGTGATGCTGGGGAGCGCTGAGACTCGCAGGCGGGACTTCTGAACTGCTGGGGAGTTGGGGGGCAGGCAGACAGCGTGGACGGTGGGCACCGGCCTGGCCGCCACCTCGCTCACAATCTGGCCACTTGGGAAGAAAACGTCTATTTTTTCCCCTTCTCTGCATCAGTTTTTTTGGTTTTTGTTCTTTTTATTCTTTTATTTTTTAAACCCATGATCTTTTTTCCCGTGTCCAAGTGACTGTTGCAGGCGGCCCGGCTCTGGCAGGGACTGGTGGGGACTTGGGGAGTGGCCCAGGCCCCTGCCCCGCCGGGCTAGGCCTCCCATGCGCTCGCGCTTGCCTGTGTCCCGGGCTTGTCTGTGAAGTGGGCGTGAAGATCGTTGCCACCTTCCAACCTACCTCACAGGGGTGTTGTGGGGACACCGTGATCTCTGGATTGTTCATGTTGTTGTGCTGTGCCGGGAGCTGCTGCCCTCCGGAGACAGGGCAGCTCCCCTTCGACCCTGGCGCCTCCACCCTCTGCGGCCCGCTCCTCTCTTCCTGCTCTGTCCCTCCTTCTCCATCAGGGAGCAGCGTGACTTCAGCGAGTCCTGCCAGCACCTGGCTAGACAGTTAACAAGCACGTCCTTCCAGCCTGAGCCAGCGCAGGTTTGGGGGGGGCCTTCTTGGCCCCCCCCTTGGTGTTCCAGCCCCTCCTCTCTTCCACCCCCTAGTCTCCCACCCTCCCCTCCCCGTAGTGACCGATTCCTATCTCTTCCCTCTCCGCAGGCTCAATGAATCGAATGAATGTGAACTTCTTCATCTGTGAAAAATCTTTATTTTTTTTTTCCATTTTGTTCTGTTTGGGGGCTTCTGTTTTGTTTGGCGAGAGAGCGATGGCTGCCAGGGGGAGTATCGGGGAGCCCTCGCGGCACGCAGGGTGGGGGGTGGCTTGGGGGCGTGCCGGTCCCTCACTCTCTCGCCCGTTCTGTGTCTCACATGCCTTTTCTTTCAAAATTGGGATCCTTCATGTTGAGCCAGCCAGAGAAGATAGCGAGATCTAAATCTCTGCCAAAAAAAAAAAAAACCTTTAAAATTAAAAAAACACAAAGAACAAAGCAGAACTTATAAAATTATATATATATATATTAAAAAGTCTCTATTCTTCACCCCCCAGCCTTCCTGAACCTGCCTCTCTGAGGATAAAGCAATTCATTTTCTCCCACCCTCGGCCCTCTTCTTGTTTTTAAAATAAACTTTTAAAAAGGAAAAAAAACAGTCACTCTTGCTATTTCTTTTTTTTAGTTAGAGGTGGAACATTCCTTGGACCAGGTGTTGTATTGCAGGACCCACTTCCCCCAGCAGCCGATCGCCCTCCTCTGTCCTCTCCTCTCCTCTCTCCTCTCTCCTCTCCCCTCCTCCTCCTGCCCTGGCTCAGCTCCCTCGGCCCTGCCCGCCCCCTCCCAGGACTGGTCTGTTGTCTTTTCATCTGCTCAAGAGGAGATTGAAACTGAAAACAAAATGAGAACAACAAAAAAAAAATTGTATGGCAGTTTTTACTTTTTATCGCTCGTTTTTAACTTCACAAATAAATGATAACAAAACCTCCCCGTCTGCAGGTGCTGTCTGTCTCTCCCCCGCTCCCTCCCTCCCGCCCCGTAGTTTTGAAGCAATGTTTGTTCTTTATAGATGTTGTTTAAAAAGCCTGATAATGGTGATTGAATAATGGTGATTGAAAATTACAAACTTTGTGTTTTTTTATTTTTAAGGAAACAAATATAGGAGAAAATAGTTTTCTTCCAGCGCAATGTGCTTTCCTAATGCTGCCCCCTCCCTTTTTTTTTTTTGTTAAATAAAGTGCTTTTTGTTTAAAAAAAAAAAAAAAAAAAGACGATGCCAGCCGCAGTTGTGTTTTCGAGAGGAAACAAGTTGAAGAGGAGCGAGTCTCAGCCGAGGAGAGTGGGCTGTGGTCCCCCAAGACGTTCCCTTTCTGATGTGGGAAGGGGAGGCCGGCACTACAGTCTTCCCCCACCCAGTTTCCCTCCAGGATCTGGGGAGCAAAGCACTCAAGCCCTCAGGGACAGGTGTTCCCATGGATGCACTGTTGCTGCAGGAGGTCCTCTGGCCTGTTGAGATTCAGAGCCCTGAGGTAGGAGCCAGGCCTGTGCCAATGCTTGCTGGATGACTGGACCAAATGGGAGGTGGGAGAGGGCACCGAGGGGCGACTCCAGCTGTTGGGCCCAGGGGCGAGCATCTTGCAGCCCCGATAGAGCTGCAGGATCTCAGGTTGTGGCTGAATGCCAGCGTTAAAACAGCCTTTTGGCTCACACCTGTAATCCAAGCACTTTGGAGGCCAAGGTGGGCGGATCACCTGAGGTCGGGAGTTCAAGACCAGCCTGACCAACATGGTAAAACCCCGTCTTTACTTTAAAAAAAAAAAAACAGGGTTTATCATACGTGTCCTCTGGGCTCAACAGCCCGCTGATGGCCCCAGCAGGAGTCAGTAACAGCTGTGGCCTCTAGAGGGGGCTGTTCATAGCCCGCCGCCCCCACCCACCCAAGTGTGCCAGGCACCTGCCCCAGCAGGCGTGTTCCTTGGTGGCCCCTGGCCAACCTGCTTGGTAGGGACCCAGGAGGGGGAAGCTGTTGCTCAGGAATCCTGGGAGTCATTGGTCCACTTGCTGGAGGTCTCGCCTCCTAGGCACGCACCCCTCCCGCAGCCTACATGGTTCCGGTTGAGGGGCAAGGGCCACCCCCAGCCCCTCCGTCTCCCTGCAGACTCAATGACCAAGCAGCACTTGGCGAAGATGTTATCTGGTGCTTCCTCTGCCAGGATCTAGAGAAGTGGGAGCTGCAGGGGTCAGGTCTGGGTCCCATGGTGGGGATATCACCCTCTCCTGCTCAGAGTCTGGGAAAATCTCAGCTATGCAAGTGAAGGGAGGTGGGGAAGTGAGTCAGGAATGTTTGCGTCACTGATTGCTATGTGAAGGTGTGCATAGAGTCCTCACCAGCGTCCCATTGCCTGCTCACATGAGCTGAGGCTGGTTCCCCAGGGCATTTCCTGAGGAAATGGAATCCCCAGGTTACCTGGTGGGAAAGCAAAGACTGGCCCCAGGTAACCTGGGGCTGTTGAGGCCAGACTTGTTCCCTTGGGGTTGGGATGCATGAGCCAGAAGTGGGGGGCACCTAGGTTTCAGAGCAGGTTATTCTGCTGGTAGAAGGTCAAGACCGGCTCACACAAGGTGTAGTGCGTCTCCAGATGTTGATGGAAAGCCAGCTCCCAGTCATCTGCCCCATGCTCCACCTGGCCCCAGAGCAGCACTTGGCCAGATGAGCGTCTTCATAGAGCGGTCAAACACCATGACCAGTCTGGGGGCTTGGCTCACCCAGGAACCCAAACAACGGGGCCAGGTGAGGAGGGACTGGCACGGTGGCCCCAGAACCCTGGCTACCCCAGAAACCGGGTTATCTAGTATTACATGGACGTGGACGGGTATCAAATAAGCCACCCTGGTCTGTTGATTTTTAGTAGAGACAGTTTTGCCATTTGGGCCAGGCTGGTCTCAAACTCCTGACTGCAGGAGATCACCACCTTGGCCTCCCAAAGTGCTGGGATATAGGTGTGAGCCACCTTGTCCGGCTTTTTTTTTTTTTTTTTTTTTTTTCTCCAAGACAGTCTCACTCTGTCACACAGACTGGAGTGCAATGGTGCAATCTCAGCTCACTGCAACCTCACCTTCCAGGTTCAAGCAATTCTCCTGCCTCAGTCTCCCAAGTAGCTGGGATTACAGGGATGCACCATGCCCAGCTAATTTAGTAGAGACACGGTTTCGCCATGTTGGTCAAGCTGGTCTTGAACTCCTGACCTCAGGTGATCCTCCCGCTTCAGCCTCCCAGAATGCTGTGATTACAGGTGTGAGCTACCGCACCTGACCTTGTTTTATTTTTCTCGTTCAAGTTTTATGTATTTAGTTTTTGGAGAGAGAGGACAGGATATTCACAGAGTGAATCCTTGCCATCTCCAGCCACCCAGGGTCACCCTCCCTGGAGGCAGCTGAGTACCTGTTGCTGTCTCCTTTGGAAGCTATGTGAGGCATGCATGCTGCAAGCAAATATGGTTCTGATACTTTTTTCCTCCTTTTATTTGTTTATTTTTCTTGGAACAGAGTCTTGTTCTGTTACCAAGGCTGGAGTGCAGTGGTGAGATCTCAGTTCACTGCAACATCCACCTCCTAGTTCAAGCGATTCTACTGCCACAGCTTTACAAGTAGCTGGGATTACAGGCAACTATCACCATACCCGGCTAGTTTTTGTGTTTTTAGTAGAGATGGGATTTTGCCATGTTGGCCAGGCTGGTCTTGAACTCCTGACCTCATCATCTGCCCGCCTCAGCCTCCAAAAGTGTTAGGATTATAGGCATGAGCCACCGCACCCGGTTGAGGATGGACTCTTAAATGATGTTGAGACAACTAGACAGCAATTTGAAAAAAGATAAAATTGGCTCCCTCCCTCGTTTCAAAAACGAGGATAAGTCCTAAATAGATGCGAGGTATAAAATGTGAGAAATAAAACTATATAGGCTGGGTGCGGTGTCTCATGCCTGTAATTCCAGCACTTCGGGAGGCCGAGGCAGGCAGATCCCAAGATCAGGAGATAGAGGCCATCTTGGCTAACACCGTGAAAACCCATCCCTACTAAAAATACGAAAAATAAGTCGGGCATGGTGGCATGTGCCTGTAGTTCCAGCTACTCAGGAGGCTGAGGCAAAAGAATCTCTTGCACCCAGGAGGCAGAGGCTGCAGTGAGTAGAGATCATGCCACTGCACTCCAGCCTGGCAACAGAGCCAAGACAACGTCTCCAAATATATATATATATGTGTGTAATAACTAGAAGAAACCATGGATGGGCCGGGTGCGGTGGCTCATGCTTGTAATCTCAGCACTTTGGGAGGCTGAGGCGGGCGGATCATCCGAGGTCAGGAGTTGAAGACCAGCCTGGCCAACATGGTGAAACCCTGTCTTTTTTTTTTTTTTTTTTTTTTTTGGAGACGGAGTTTCCCTCTTGTTACCCAGGCTGGAGTGCAATGGCGCAATCTCGGCTCACCGCATCCTCCGCCTCCTGGGTTCAGGCAATTCTTCTGCCTCAGCCTCCTGAGTAGCTGGGATTACAGGCACGCGCCACCATGCCCAGCTGATTTTTTTGTATTTTTAGTAGAGACGGGGTTTCACCATGTTGACCAGGATGGTCTCGATCTCTTGACCTCGTGATCCACCTGCCTCGGCCTCCCAAAGTGCTGGGATTACACACTTGAGCCACCGCGCCCGGCCAGAAACCCTGTCTTAAAAAAAAAAAAAACATGGATGATGGATGGATTTCTTGATAATCTAGGAGTAGAAAAAAAGTCTCAAAATCCAGAAGCAATAACAGACAAGCTTGATAAATGAGACAAATATTCTTTTTCTTTTTTTTTTTTTTGAGACGGAGTTTTGCTCTTGTTACCCAGGCTGGAGTGCAATGGCGTGATCTCGGCTCACCGCAACCTCCACCTCCTAGGTTCAGGCAATTCTCCTGCCTCAGCCTCCTGAGTAGCTGGGATTACAGGTACACGCCACCATGCCTAGCTAATTTTTAGTAGAGACGGGGTTTCACCATGTTGATCAGGATGGTCTCGATCTGTTGACCTCATGATCCACCCGCCTCGGCCTCCCAAAGTGCTGGGATTACAGGCGTGAGCCACCGCACCCGGCCCGAGATGAATATTCTTATTTTATTTTTATTTTTTCTTTTTGAGACGGAGTCTCACTCTGTCCCCCAGGCTGGAGAGCAGTGGCGTGATCTTGGCTCACTGCAAGCTCCGCCCCTGGGTTCAAGCGACCTGCATCAGCCTCCCGAGTAGCTGGGATTACAGGTGCCTGCCACTTCTCCTGGCCAATTTTTGTATTTTTAGTAGAGACAGGGTTTCAACATCTTAGCCAGGCTGCTCTTGAACTCCTGACCTGGTGATCCACCTGCCTTAGCCTCCCAAAGTGCTAGAATTAAAGACGTGAGCCACCATGCCCAGCCAATGAGATGAACATTCTAAGAACAAATTCTGCATGGCAAAAGACACAAGCAAAATCAAAAGAAAATTGAAGACCTGGAAAAACCATTGGCAACCTGTATCATAGACAAAGGGCTAATATCTCTAATATATAAAGAGCTTTCAAAAATCGAGGAGGCCGAGTGTGGTGGTTCATGCCTGTAATCCCAGCACTTTGGGTCACTGAGGTGGGTGGATCACGAGCCCAGGAGTTCAAGACCAGCCTGGCCAATATGGTGTAACCTCATGTCTACTAAAAACACAAAACTCAGCCAGGCATGGTGGCACATGCCTGTAATCCCAGCTACTCTGGAGGCTGAGGCAGGAGAATCACTTGAACCTGGGAGGCGAAGGTTGCAGTGAGCCAAAGTCACGACATTGCACTCCAGCCTGGGCAACAGAGTGACACTCTGCCAAAGAAAAAAAAAAAAAGAAGAAAAAGGAAAAAGCCAAATACCTGTAAGAAAAGAAGAAAAAAAGCAAAAAAAGGTAAGAGTTTAATGAAAAAGACAACGAAACAGCCTTTAAGCCTTTTGTATTTTTAGAGATAGTCTCACTCTGTTGCCTGGGCTGGAGTGCAGTGGCAAGATCATAGCTCGCTGCAGCCCCAAACTCTTGGGCTCAAGTGATCTCCCACCTCAGCCTCCTGAGTAGCTGGGACTACAGGTATGTGCCCCTGTACCCAGCTTGGCCCTCAAACTTTGGAAAATAAAGCCTCATTTGTAGCCAGAGAAATGCTCATTACAGCCACACTGATATACCACTTCTCACCTACACAGGTTGACGAAAATCCAAAGTTTGGCAGCATGTTCTGTAGGTCTCACAGTAAATGTAAATGAAGAGGAATTTAGTGATGGCTAGCAAAATTATCTATGCATTTCTCTTTAATCCAGCAATTCCATTACTAATCTATTTCAAGGATACTAGCAAAAAGGTGAAATGACTTGCAAAGTTTTTTTTTTCTTGTTTTATTGTTTTGAAACAGTCTTGCTTTGTTGCCCAGGCTGGAGTGCAGTGGCGCGATCTTGGCTCACTGCAAACTCCGCTTCCAGGGTTCAAGTGATTCTCCTGCCTCAGCCTCCTGAGTAGCTGGGATCACAGGTGCACACTACATACTGGGCTGATTTTTGTATTTTTAGTAGAGATGGGGTTTCACCATTTTGGCCAGGCTGGTCTGGGACTCCTGGCCTCAAGTGGTCCACCGCGTTGGTCTCCCAAAGTGCTGGGGTTACAGGCATAAGCCACTGCACGTCGCCCTTTTTTTTTTTTTTAAACTTTGCTGTATATCCAGAAGATCTCACATCAGAATAAGAGATCTTCCTTTTTCCTTTTTTATAGCTGTGTAGTATTGAATTGTGTGGCTGAGGCAGGAGAATCGCTTGAACCCCAGAGGTGGAGGTTCCAGTGAGCTGAGATTGCACCACTGCACTCCAGCCTGGGCAACAAGAGTGAAACTCCATCGCAAAAAAAAAAAAAAAAAAAGTAAAGTAAAGTAAAGAGGAGGTGGGGAGGAGAGGGGAAGGGAGGGGAGGGGAGGGGAAATTTGGAAAACCCTTTGCCTCTATTGAACAGGTACAGACTTTTTTTTTGAGACAGGGTCTGTTTTTTTCCCACATCTCATAATGTCCAAAATAAAATTCTTTTTTTATTTCTTTGAGACAAGGTCTTGCTCTGTCCCCCAGGCTGGAGTGCAGTGGTGCAATCATAGCTCACTGCAACCTTGAACTCCTGGGGTCAAACAATATCACTTCACCCTCCTGAGTAGCTGGGACCACAGGCGTGGACCATCTCGCCTAGCCCAGAATTTTTTCCTCATCATTAATCCCTAAACAATACAGCATAACAACTATTTATATAACATTTAATTGTTTTAGGTATTACAATAATCTAGAGATTATTTACATTATATTGGAGGATGATCGTAGGTTCTATGCAAATACTATGCTATTTTATTATTTAACTCTTTGTAAATGTAAGTTTTTAGGCCAGACGTGGTGGCTCACGCTTGTAATCCAAGCAATTCGGAGGCCAAGGCGGGCAGATCACCTGAGGTTGGGAGTTCAAGACCAGCCTGACCAACATGGTGAAACCCCGTCTTTATTAAAAAAAAAAAAAAAAAAAAAAAAAAAAAAAAAAATTTTTTAAAGTAAATGTAAGTTTTTTAGAGATGGAGTCTCACTATGTTGCCTAGGCTGGCCTCAAACTCCTGGGTTCAAGCAGTCCTCCCACCTTGGCCTTCCACAAGTGCTGGGATTACAGGTGTGATCACCATACCCAGGTGCTACTATGTTGTTTT